TATAGTTTGTATGAAATAATTGATGTAATGCCCAGGATTTTATTATCTAAGATGTTAAGTTAATTCTTAATAAAAGCGCTTGCGTCTAATACCAGTTGTGATTTAAAAAAAAAAAAAAGACATACTATATTGATCCGATTGCAATATCTGTTTTTATTGTATCAGAAATTATACATTCGAGATTATTGTGTTAATCAATAAGAATTATGAATTAAATAAATTTTAATTTAAACGGTTAACTAACATACGGTATAACAAAAAAAAAAAAAAGAATCACAATTTCTTTTATATAATCGTTAAAAATAAATATTATGTAAATGTTTTTGTCTCGAGTAAATGTATTCCTCTATAGCCACAATATATAGGATTATTTGTTTTGTTTTGTTTTTTTTAGGAAAAAGAAATAGTTTAAATTGCACTTATTATTGCACTTGGATGCGTGGTGATACTCGGTGATCACACGGAAGTAAGTCCATTCTTCTTTATGTGTAAAAGCCTGATGCAGTTTACCCGAGGTATTGTGATGTCCTACAGATTCAGGGTTTCAATAGACATTTTTTCCTCCAATAAAGCTCACTCGGTGCATGAAAGAAACCCTCGATTTGACCTAATTACCGATTTACGTTGTGCAGGAATGAGGTATGCAACTCATCACCCCTGCCTCTTAACAATAAACCACAGCATTGCACCTAACCTTTAAATGCCAAGCGTTGATAAAATTTCGGAAGTTCCTTTTGGGAGCAAACGTTAATTCCCTAAATTTATGTATCCAATATAGAGAAAGGAGGTGCAAGATCCACTTTAAACGCATTGGAGATGCCTCTTTTGATAAGCGAATCAACAATCGCCGTGATAAACAACAATGTTCGGACGCAACCATTCCATGCGTGAACAAGAAAGGATTTTTCTTTATCTCCTGGATTCAAAAGACTTACCTTCTTTGTATAACTGGCTGAAACACTTTTTTGTAAATTTACTTCTTAAAAAAAAAAAAAAGAATCTTGTTTTTTTTTTTTCTCTGGTTCATCCAAATAATTTTTTCCCAGAGGTTCTAGAAAAGATTTAGAAACGATTCCTCAATGATGTTTTTAAGTGCAAGTGGTTTATCAAAATTCTTTTACGGGCGTGCATCTCCGTAATTGGTTTATGAGACCGACGCGTAGATTGTGAGATGCGGTAATAATTTATCCAATGCTGGTTCTTGCATTGCATGTTGCTAACCGTTAAAGAGTCGTTTGATTGCCAATTCGTCGCTCTCTCTTGCTATCTTTGCCTGAATTCGCAAAAAATTTTTTTTTTCTGTACGGAAAGATTCAACCCCGCAAATATTTTTTTTTTTTTTTTTTAAGGACGCATCACCTATTCTTAAAGATAAGCGGGTTGATTGATGTGCTTACACCTTGCAATTGAGCATACAAGGTACGTCATTGGACATCATTTTCTTCGCCGTTAGATTTCCATTGGTCGAGCTCGTTATCTCTTGAAAACTTTTATCAGTTATCAGCTCATTAAATCTAAACTTTATTACAAATCCAACCGTAATAATACAAATGAAGTCACCTATAGATGACAATTCAATAACGACCAAATTATTGCACCGGATCGATTTATCTCCCTGAACAAGCAACGGTGAGGCATATGTACGTTATGCATACAGCATATCACATGTGTGTAATTGAATTGTCGTTGGTTGGACCGACCCATTCTTCAATCTCATCACATGCATTGCTTATTCTCGTGAGAATGAAGGATGAGCGATTAATTTAACCCCTTTGAGATTCCTGCCAGTCTCGAGTTGACATATGTCGATGAATTAATCCCGGTTTCGTTAATCACAAGTTCGTGAGTGACTGATTATATCAGTGCGTCACGAAATCCGAAAATTATTTTATGATCTTGACGTAATTCAAATGTAATTCCAGGGACCAATACACAATTCATTTCCACAAATGGCGCCATACCATTCATTATAATTTTCGAATAAGGGTCAGATCCCATCACAGAGCTTTAAAAAAAAAAAAAAAAGAAGAAAAAAAAAAAAAAAACGAGATTCACACTACTCCATAAAAGCTGTCAGCTATAATGATAAACAACAATTAAATTCAACAATACCCTTTAATGGCGTACGCACGCACGCACACACACATACGCACGCACACTTCTTCCTGATGAATCCCGAAGTGGCGAAGTAGCTAAGTAGCTTTAAAAGAAAAAAAAAAGAGGGGGGGACATACCAAATGAAATGGTAAAATGAGAATAGGTGAAATGATTGCACGTGAAAAAAAGATCAATGACAGATGACTCATGGCATTTGAAATTATCGCGTGTTAATTAATAATAATATCTATATATAACGGGGCTAGTTTTATTCCCGTCATCATCGTCATCATATGTGAGGGTGAATACCATTCGTTAACAACATTTATTACACGTATAATAATATTATTATATTGATCTCGCTTAAGGTTAATGCTATATGATTTTTTTTACAAGAGGTTCGTTTCTGTTCATTATGCTTGTACGCATTGTACACACCTACGTATATTTTACGAATTGTTCCTTTAACATGATCAATTGTTGTTTATATTGTTGTGTCACCTCTGTTACAGTATATCGCTGTGTTCTGAAAACGTGTAAGGTGTGGCTTTAGCCAAATTCAGTTTAAAAATTATGTATTACAGCGTTTTGACCTGCTGACTTCACATGGTCCGAATTTTGTTCTAAAGTCAGCCCACATGTTAAAAACTTTTTTCATATGCGTTTGCTATCACACAAATATTATTATTATATTGTAACATGTTATTATAAAGTATTATATTGTTTGTTTAAATTGATGATTTTCAAATCTGCTCACATGAATATCGTGCACTCTTTGCATAATGCAACCAAAACAATTTTGCGCCGTCACCCTTTTTTCTTATTCTCTCTAATTCCTCAGTTTTCCCATCCTTCCGTGCCTTCTTATTTTAAAAGAAAAATTTTTTTTTTGTTATTGTTGTTAAAGACCTATTAACCAAAGAGACATTCTGGAGGCAAAAAAAAAAAAAATTTTTTTTTTCGCTATATTCTTCCAAATATATGTGATCTCTTGTGTATTCTACTTCAACTTCCACCTCTTGTACTTTTAAACTCCGTATATTATAAATAGATACTAGTTTTTTTTTTTTATTCGTTCTACGCTTAAACTTTGACTCGTCTCCCACACACACAATTACAGGTTCCCAAAACTTTTTGTAACAACTCTTGCTTATTCAAAAAAAAAAAAAAAAAACCACTAAAAAAAAAAAGCAATGCACAATCAACCACCCACACTTCCTTCTATTAACACTGTCGGGAACGGCATCGAATATGGAGACATAGCTCGCATTAAGCAAGAAAAAGATGTCGTCGCCCCCCCTTTACCACCAATTCAGGCACTGAACGACAACAGTAATAACAATAACTCTAGAATGTCCATAAATCAATTGTGCAACGACCCTGACGAAGAAATGAAAAAAGCTGCCGCCGTATTAGAGAATATGAAACAAACTGCTCTCCCACCAATTGGTATGAATCTCGAGGTTTATTGTGGGAGTGAAAATTCTCCTCAATCCATGTTTCCTGATATTCAACTTTCTTTTCTAACAAAACCTCTCACTTCTTATCCTCAGAAGTGACACAGCTTAGTAACAACTCTCACGAAGGATCTGTATCGAGCCCAAATTCTGACGGTCTGATTTCCCGATTAGGAGAAATACCTTTTGTACGGGGGGCAATGACTGCCTATGAACAGGGTAAAAACACATTACCATTAATCAAATATACCACCGAAATGGTTGAATCATCAGTGTCTACTGTAATTGAAAAGATACCCCAATTGGCCCAATTAGATCAATACGCGTATCGCAAACTTGGGGAAATTATGGATAACAACAGTAATAGTAATAGTAATAATAATAATTACAATAATAGTAATAGTAGTAATAATAATGCTTCTTCCATTGTTAATGGGGATGAATCATTGTACGGGCGTTGTAATGAAGACACTTTGATGGGGGGTGATACCGAAAATGAGTCTCGCAAAAGAAAGGTGCGAGGTGAACCCGCGAGAGATTCTTCGCCTTCCTACAGAACCCCCCCATCACGAACACATAGAACTTCACAATCAAATGGTTCACAAAATAGTACTTCTTATGCTCCCTACGCTTATCATAATAATACTACAGTATCGACGTCAACAACGTCCCCTGCTCCTTCCCCTAGCCGTTGGCAACAAGTGCTTGTTGGAGCCGGTGCTGCTGTCGGAACTGCTCGCGCCGTTGTAAGCGAGGAGTCGATGAAAAGCCTTCGATACTGCCTACAATGGTTACAAGTGAGTATTATACTTATTGAAATTTACGACACGGTTTATACTACTGGTTCAAGTGTGTGTGACCTTTTTTCTTTTATTATTATTATTTATTATTATTAACAATAACAATAGTACGCGACGCATCATATAGAACATCAAATTGCAATATTACGAGATCTCATTGTAAAGCTCACAACTCCCTCGTCGAATAATGCCGTGATACACTCGAATGCCACATCGACTCTGTCAGCGATTAAGAAGGAGATTGTCGAAAATCTGAGAAAGGTTATAGATGTGGTTTCCAGATATGCCAGTAAATGTCTACCCGAGCAGGCTAAACAAAATGTCAGGAGTTTCATCCTAAGTTTACCCACTCGTTGGGCTTCCATCAACCATAGCGACATTTCCGCCTCCCCACTATCGTCTCCGCAGTTGGATCCCATCAACGCTCATCAAAATCACCAGACTGCCGATTACGCGCGTCGTTTGCTTAGCCTGGCAACCGAGTCCCTGGATATGCTTCGTAGAGTTGGAGGCATTTTTGGTGATACAGTAGAACGCGCCGAAGCTTGGGTTGAACGTCTAAGGTCCATACCACCTGTGGGCTGGTCGTCCCAACCGAACGTTTCCACCACCACCACCACCACCAACGATTACTCGTACTGCCATTCATCTTCCACCTTGCACTCGTCCTCCAGTTTTCGTCCTCGCAAGTCATCCAACTCCAGTCGCATGAGTAATCGCAAGTACAATAATCGCTTCTATGTCGAAGACGACGATGAATCAATTAATAATTATGACTCGGATGATTCAGATGATTCGGAGGTTGAGAATAAGCGAATGGAGGACAATCGTTCACACCGTTCTCCAAAGAACTCAAATTCCATAAAATCACCGCCACCGCACAATGGATTGAATAGTGGCAAAAAGAGAAAGAAGGTTGAAAAAAAAGATGATGGAATGGATCTCACTGAACCTTTCTAGCCGATGTCTTATTATTATTATTATTTTTTTTTAAAAAAAGAATCTTAGAGTATTATATATATAGGGTCAATTATTGTTATTGGTACTTTGTTATTATCATCATCTTACAGTCATGATACCGAACATTATCTTTCAATTTTGGTGTTTTTTCCCTCATAATTTTTGGAAAAAAAAAAAATTATTATTTTTTAATTCATGTACGTTCTACGCATATAGTATTACTCTGGTTATCAAGGTTGTTTACTTGTCGACAACTGCTTTCATATCAAACAACTTTTTGGGAGTCCCCATTCATTTAATTGAATGGTGTTCTTCAAAAAACACCCTTCCTTTTTCGCGGTCAAACGACCGTTGTCTTGTTTATATATATAGCAGGCATATATATACAATCTTGAGAACTTTCCCTCCCTCCTCATCTCCTGGTCCCATTAGCAATACTCACCTTCAAAACTTATTGCTTCTTTTTCTCTCTTTTTTTTTTTTTTTCCAACACGTAGATTTCTACCATTTCAAATCTTTATCTTTCCTTTGCTTTTTTTCATTAGACGAATTTCATTTCATGAC